TTTTATTTGACCATCTCGGTAATGCAGTATTCTACGTCGACGGTTTAACTCGTGGTTTATATGCTCAGACATCATGGGGATTGCCCTGTAAAACGATATGGAGAAGAAATCCGTTATTTTCATTATTTACAATCAATTCATTATAGCTTATTAACTCATTTCAATTTCCCTTATCTCCTACAGTTACTAGTAATTGGAATCACAGAATTTGGCGGACATGATTTTTTGACGTTGGTGTCGGATTGCCGAAATTAAAGCTACGTTCAAACAAAATTTCCACAATATCCAACGAACGAATGCTCAACAATCAACAGAATAGCTTCCCCGACACTTGGGGAATATCTGTAGCGTGATAATATATAAGTGAAAGAAAAGTGCTAACTTGCTAAGATTTCCTAAATCTTTGTGGGGCAAGTGACGAACAATTATATGTCCCACTTGTCCAAGAGCAGAGACTAGTTCATTATTGGGATACCGAAATTTAGTTTCAATCTTTCTTTTTTTGGGAGTGCTGGGTCCTTTTTCATCCGTTCCTCCTGGAAATTTAATTAATTCGTCACTAATGTTCTTGTTCTTCACATATTTAAGCAGGCAAATTCATTCAAATTTCCTTATTATGTACTGTGGACCACTTCAAAAAAAGTTCATTTAAATTTAAAATTCGAAAATTAGAAGAGTCTACCTGTTGCTGATGTAATATTGAATGATATCGTATGGCTTACAATGAATGTGAGAATGGCAAGATAATTAAAATCCATTGTTGCCAAAAGCTGTAAATTAAGAATACACTCAATGATTTGAATAATCTTAAGGTATTGCCGAATTTTTTTTACTATTACAAGTGAATTTCGAGTTTTTTAAGAATAGATTCCATCATTTTGAATGTATAATAAATCTGGTTGCTAAAGGATGCAATTTTCCTCGAGTAATTCGCAAAACAAATTTTTTCATTTCGCCACTTTATCGTATGCTTCTTTTGATGAGTAACGGCGGTAAATGATTAGTAATATATATGAGATTTGCGCCCAAATTCGGTTGCTTCAGTAAGGATAAGCTATATTATT